CCATAAATGTCCCTGCTGGCCTCCTGGGGGGAGGGATGGAAGGCAAAAAATCGCGCCTTACTCCATGCCCAGACCCAAGGGTATCTGTACATCACTTCAGGAAGTGGCAGCCCTGGAAATGAGGCCAGGGAGAGAAGTGCCGGCTCCTGGAGGGAAGGGGCGGTGTCTCTGGAACAGTGTGTGTGGACATGGAGGACCAATGTCTTGAGTGGGCGTAAGGGATTTCCGCATTTCAGCCAGCTGTGTGCTTCCTGCGGCTGCCCCTGCTCCCGCCCGGCAGGCCCAGCATTGGCCCTGGCTAGATACAAGGGGCTCCCTGGGTCTCTGGAGCTCACTGGTGGGGCACAGGGGCTGTGATTGCTTTCTAGAAGCTTCCTGCCATCTCTTGAGTTCCACAGGTGATCTGTCCCGTGAAGAAGGGTCTCCGTGTGCTTTAAATGACTTTGTCTTCCACCAGAGAGACTTTCCGAGGTCTCCTTGTCTCCTTGAGCCCAGGCAGGCATTTCAGAACTGCATGACACCCCAGTCTTTTCTGAGCACTGTGCCCTCCCAGCTGGAGTAGCAAAAGGGTTGTGAGAGGGACCGGGCCAGCTGGGACCATGGTGCTCCGAAGCAAAGCTTGGAGACCAGAAGCACTGGGAGGCCCTATCAGCCTTTGCCTATTTGGGAAAGAAGGTGCCAGTGTTGACACAAGTCACCTGTGTTTCCGGTGACAAGTGGGGCTTCCAACTGTCGTCACATGCTTCCCCTCCCAGCTCTGCCCAGAGATGGGAATCAGCCCCTCACCCCTGGTGCCCTGTGGACTGTAATATACTTCTGTTGCCAAAATAAAAGTCCTGTTCAATTTTCTATTGAAGGGAGACCCTGTTGTCTGATATGTAATGTCAATGGAGTTCTGAAGATAACTAGACACTATTATCAATTGTAGAATTTTGTATATGTCTAAGGTTTGATGAAGCAGAGCCCAAAACACTGTTTCTCTATTTGTTTAAAAGAAGCTGGGGTTGGTTTCACTGTTTGAGTGTTCCTTTGGCACCTTATCATGTGTAAAACGTTCAATGCTGTCAGTTCAGATTATGGTAACTGGTTTTGTTTGAATTCCTCTAAGCCAGTAGCAACATCACTACAAATCGCTGTTCCTGTATATCTTGAACCTATGAAAGAACAATCTCTTTGACAACTCTTTGGTCATTTTGACCTGTACGGTTTAATTTCACATAGTTCATGAATAAAATGAGAAAAGCCGATTGGTTTGTGTTCTTTCTGCCACACCACCTTCCTGAGCAGACAGGAAGTGAATCACCTTGCAAATGGCGGCACTTCCTGTACTCTTCTTTGCCCACTCATAAAGCTGTACTTGTGAGAGGAAAAAAAAAATTCCAAACTTAAAAAACCCCAAACCATTAGGGCTGGAGTGATAGCCAGTGGGTAGGGCGTTTGCCTTGCATGTGACTGACCTGGGTTCGATTCCCAGAATTCCATATGGTCCCCTGAGCACCGCCAGGAGTAAGTCCTGAGTGCATGAGCCAGGAGTGACCTCTGTGCATCGCTGGGTGTGACCCCAAAACAAAACCAAACCCAAACCATCACACCTTTCACTCTCCTGTATCTTCTTCAGATGCACATTAGCCCCTGAGAGACATCAGGTACCCCATACCAAGTGCTGAGAATTTGAGATGTTCTCCGTTGTGTAGTAAGGAGCTCCACAGTAGCAGTGGTGAAGGGACTGTCTTACAAAGACTTTCCAAGGATTATTCTGGCTTCCCCCAAAGAGTTTTCCAAGTCCACATGTTGAGAGCTTTGTCTTTGTATGTTAGAGTAGGGGGAGGGCACTCTGGCTGTACCACCTCTCCAGCACCAAGGCACTGTTTGGGTTTTTGTTTTAATCATCATCATAAAAATTGTTTTGTTTTTTTTTAAAAAAAGCCGTCAAGAACAAAGAAAATAATAAATTGCTTTTCCTGGTTGGTATCTAGTTTCCCCCAGATTGGTGTGTAGAAGGAATCCTTAAAACATGTAGAATAGATAACTACGTGCTAAAATGTAGGAACCAGGGGCGGGAATGATAGTACAGCAGGTAGGGCGTTTGCCTTGCACGCGGCAGACCCAGGTTTGATCCCTGGCATCCCATATGGTTCCCCCAGCACCACCAGGAGTAATTCCTGAGTACAGAGCAAGGAGTAACCCCTGAGCATCGCTGGGTGTGACCCAAAAAAAGCAAAATAAATAATTTTCGACATGGTCCTCCTGTTGTTCATCGATTTGCTCTAGCGGGCCCAGTAACGTCTCCATCATGACACTTGTTGCTACTGTGTTTGGCATATCGAATACATCGCGGGTACCTTGCCAGGCTTTGCCGTGCAGGCGAGATACTCTCGGTAGCTTGCCGGGCTCTCCGAGAGGGGCGGAAGAATCGAACTCGGGTCAGCCATGTTGGCCGCTTGTAAGGCGAATGCCCTACCGCTGAGCCAGCATAATCAAGGGACTATTTTACCCCAAATTGTTTATTGTGTTTCTTCTAATTCTAGTGAATACTTCTTAATGCAGAAAATTCAGTAGCACAGGAAATACAAAACAATGAAATCATCTAATGAAGATATTTCCCCCCCTCAAACAAAAATATATCTTAACATTTGAGAGAGCCCGTCATTTTTGTGTTCTTCCCCCCCTCCCCCCATCTCCACTTTAGATGCTTTTGGATTAGTTAATGGCTAGGATGTCTTGACGACATCCACAAGGCATTGTTCAACTATATAATTTACATAAAATCTCCCACATTTTGTTTGATTGCTTTCTTTTAAATCCAGCAGATGTATATTACAACTTGATTTCTTTTGTTCGTTTTTTTCAGTCATACCCACAGGGCTCAGGGGCCATTTCTAGCTCTGTGCTCAGGGGACCATGAGATGCTGGGGTTCAAATTTGGGCCTCTTGAATGCTAAGTATTCAACCCATTGAGCTATTTCTCTGCCCCCAACTTCATTTTTCAAGGACTGCATAGTATATACCCCATTGTCAGCATGTTACCTAGTCTTCCTGAATTTATTTAAACAACCCCAAATGGCTTTTGCTTTAGGTTCCTTGGCCCACTGTACTAGGAAGAGAACCACTGTGCACAATTTCTGGGGCAAAATAAACTGATATACCAGATAGCAGGATTTGAAGCATTTCATCAATCCGCCCATTTCTATGTGCTCAGTTGACAGGTTGTGGAGTGTGAATCTGAAGGACTGGCGTGGGATTATAGCCAGAGGGTTCCCCCAAAGATACTCTCTGCAGGGTTACCCGGAGTCTAGGAAGTGTGTGGTCTTACAGGATGATGCTGTGCGAGCAGCCCTGTCTGGGGTTCTGTCACACGCTCAGAGACCCTGAACCCCAAGGCTCCATGAAAGTGGCTTCCTCCTTGGTGCTAACAGCCCAGGTTGGTCTGAGGTCAAGCAGGGGTGTTGAAGGGCGACCATTGCTTAAATTCACTGGGCATGAGGCAGCTCCGGTTCCCACCACCTGCACTTCATGGAGAAGCTGCACGCCTGCTTCTCATGAGGCAACCCAGGAAGGCCCAGATAGCATCTCGATTCCCCTCGGCTGCTGGAACTTGGTTTCCTGGCCAGGGACTACAGGGGAGGCTGGTCAATGGCATTCAGCAGAGGGGCCCTATGTCCAGCTACAAGTTGGTCAGCGCATATTGGGGCCAGGAGCAGTTTGGGTGCTCCTGGCTCCTGGCCTGCTACCAAGAGGCTGTGGAGTTGTCTGGGTTGTCTGTCAACTCAGCTGATCGTGTAGCTGGTTTACCAGACCCAGTTTCAGCCAAACCTGGTGGTTGGAAGCAATGGCGTGACAGACGGGGGAACATGTTGGTCTCAGTACTAGGACACAGCGAATGGCCCGGACTGTGGTCACTGCCCAGTAGGTCTTGTTCAGCCTGTCTATAACCTTTTGGGCATATACTTTACAACCAGAAGCCCTGTGGCCCTGGGTGGACCAAGAGTCGGTCTAATCTCCTGGGGCAACTTACCAGAAAGGCAAAAGGCCACTTCCTTTTGGCTTCCAGCCTGGGGAAATGCTCTCACCTGTGCTGGCCGCCTCCCGATTGGCTGGAGGCCTGAGGAAGGGTGCTTGACCTGGGTTTGTTTCCGAGCCTGCACCTCCCCGCTCATTTCCTGCTCCGAGGCTGTTCCTAGGCTCCCCAAGCACTCCTGGGGCTGAGAAGTCCGGTCTCCGTGTACAGGTGTTTAGAATAGCCCCTTCACACAGGAAGGAATGGATGCCCACTGGATACAGGCTGACTTCTAGATTTCTTCAGAGAAGAAAATATTTAACCGGGGAAGGGGCCAGACTAAGACATAGCACTTTGGGGTCACACACTTGTTAGGATAATCAGGAGTACAAAGTGGACCAGCTACAAGCTGAGACCAACAGCACCGTGCATGCTGGGAAGAGGCACAACACACACACAACTAAGAGCAGGCACAACACACACACACACACACACACACGCATGCACGCACGCAGGGTGAGGCTGCTGATAGGGTTTTGGGGCCTCTTGCGAGGGAACCAGGGGAAGCTCGAGACGGTTCCTGAGCTGACCCGTGGCGGCTCAGCCATGAAGGAAACAAGAGAAGGTCCAGGAAGCACCAACGGTCTGGCCTCAACCCGGGCCGCAGTAACTCAACTCGTGCCATTCTGGTTTTTGGGCCACACCCGCGGCGCTCAGCAATCACTCCTGGTGGGCTCAGGATGCGTAAGAGGGATGGGGGTTGAGCCTGAGCTGGGCACATGCACGACAGGCGCCTTCCTCGCTGTGCGATCTGTGGTCCCTCTCAACGCTTTCCTAACGGACACAAGCTTCCGCAGATTTTCTAAGCAAACACCAGGACCACAAGGCTGGCCGTGTAACCCCTGACCTAGGGGAATGCTGACAAGGAGGCGGGCTGCTTGGTGCGAAGGACGGCGAGCTGGCACCTACACGCGAGACCATTCAGCCAAGCAGGCAGAGCATGTCGGGAGCAGACCCTGTCTCCCCAAAGGGCCCTCTGTGTCTTATTTATTTGGTTTGGGGGCCACACCTGGTGATGCTCAGGGGTTACTCCTGGCTTTGCACCCAGAAATTACTCCTTGTGGAGCTCGGCGTGTGTGAGTCTGGGGGGGGTGTCGGTCTATGCCGGATCTTAAAGAGCAGAAGTGACTGTTCTGTTCAGAGGCAGTTTATTGCCCCGCCAGGTGCAGCTGGCCCTGGGGGGAGTCGCGCGCTCACATAGCCTCGCGCATGGCCTTGCTCAGCTTCTGGATCTTGGTCCTGGCAGACATGTCGACGTACTTCTCTCCGATGCGGACGATCATCCCCCCCATGATGGACGGGTCGGTCTGGGAAAGAACACAGGCGTCGGTCACGCTCCAGATTGTCCGCAGGTGCCAGAGGGCAGTGAGACAGAGGGAGAGTCCCACCCCCCAAGCGGCCCGGCTCTGCTCCGGGACCCCAGCCGAGCCTTGACCATCAGTGGGCGGGATTTTTCACTCCTCCCCGAGGTCGACCGGAGGACAGATGCCACCCTCCCCCCAAACCTACCTTCACTTCCAACTTCAACACTTGGTTTTTGCTGAGGAAGCTCTGCAGGACTGTTTTGAGTTCAGAAAGCGTGGCCTCATTCAGAGCCTGGAAACAGAACAAAATCATTCATCCCACCTAGCACAAGTTGAACCCAGACTTCCTGTGGGAAGCGGGAAGCCCTTTCAGCTGCTGGGCCCGTGAAGGAGGCCCCCGCACACTGAGGCCCACTGTCCAGCTCACTCGGGGCCCCCTCAGCACCATCCACAATGGCCTCTAAAGGCCCGAGAACTTGGGTGTCCCCTCGGCATCAGCCTCTACTTCTTGGGGAAGCCACCATTTGGCCAGGTTCTAGAAAATCTGTCAGGAGCTCAGCTGGCAGATAGATGCTCACCGAGGGGCAGCTCTGGCCCCGAAATCTCCCCAGGTTGAGCAGGTACCCCCATACGAGGGGGCATCATCCCTCTCGGCCCGGTCTTACTCACCGGAGGAGAAATAAAGAGGGGCTGAAGGGGGGACGTGCACCTCCACACGCCCGCAATCCCGACCCCCTGCCTGCTCCTCTGGGGGTGTAAAAGCCAGCAAGGACTCCCCCTTGCCCTCTGGAGCTCTGATGGCCTCTCTCGGGGGTGGGGAGGGTTCAGCACTCCCCACCATCACCTCCGGGATCTGGCCCCGGGGAGACAGCAGTCAGTCTTGTTTCCATGGGGGAAAGAAACCGAGTCCAGAGTGGCCACAAGCACGGGTATGATCTGCCTGCCGCCACGGAGAGGATCCTGGGTGCCAGGTCACCCCGGTGATGCTCCTGGCTCTGCACTCAGGAATGACTCCTGGCACTGCTCTTGGGGACCATAAGGCAAGCCAGGGATGGAACCTGGGCTGACCACAAGCACCCTGCCTGCCCCTTCTCAACCCCACCCATCACTCACAGAGGCTGTGGTCACTGTGCAGGGGACTTCGCCACGGTGGACACTCATCATGGTGGAAAAGGCCGAAATAATCCCAGGGGTGTTGTTCAAACGCCCGTTTTCGGCAAGCAGATCTGGGGAGACAGGGGGGTGCCGAGTCACATACTGCCTGCCCCTGCCTCCCCCCAAGACAGCTGGGGAGGGGGGCAGGGCATAACATCCTCCGTGCCCAGGGGCCACTGTCCCTCCCCTCCTGCCCCCCGCGCCCCACTGCTTCTGGAGCAGAGTCCCAGTGCCCGGGACTCACTGATGAGGTTGGTGGTGATCGGGGACAGCTTCTCCCGGGCCGTCAGGTCGCCAATGCTCTTCACCTTGACAGCGCGTTTCACGTGTGGGTTCAGGATGGAGGCCGCCATCTTGGGTTCCTTCAGCAATTGCTGCAGGGGCACCGGCCAGAGATGTTTCAGCTTGGGGGGGCCCTGCCGGCCCCCCACCACCCCACCCCAATTCTGCACAGGAGAATCGTGAATATTTTTTTTCTGCCTGAAAAAAATTTTAAATGCTCCAATTCATCAATTAAAAATTTAATTTTGAGGAGCCGGAGTGATAACAGAGCAGGGAGGGCGTTTGCCCTCCAGGTGGCCGACTCGGGTTCAATCTCTGGCACCCCATAGGGTTCCCCCAAGCACTGCCGGGAGTGATCCCTGAGTGCAGAGCCAGAAGAACCCCTGAGCATCGCCAGGTGTGATCCCCAAATGTTCAGTTTCCCACACACTAGGGAGGCCAGTGACGGCCACTGTGCCTGGACCCTGGCCACATACAGCTACCAGCATGTCCCGCCTCCCTCCTAATTAGGCTGGAGAACCCGAAACTGAGGACTGGGGAGAGGGTGTCACTGTTCCGTCAGCAACCCCTCCGCTCCTGGTCCAAGTCCACCAAATACCCTGTGACAGAAGCGGAAACTTCCCCTTGAGTGCCCCCACAAAAATGCCCCTTTCCTGTAAAAATCACTGACACACTGGGGCCGGAGCAATAGTACAGCGGGTGCCTTGCACACGACCAACCTGGGTTCGATTCCCAGCACCCCATATGGTCCCCCAAGCACCACCAGGAGTAATTCCTGAGTGATGAGCTGGGAGTAACCCCTGAGCATCACCAAAAAGCCAAAAAAAAAAAAAAAATCACTGACACATAAACTCAAAGCATTCTGGATTCTGGGTCAGCTGGGCACCGGGGTTCCAGCTTAAAACGGGCATACAGAAGTTGCTGCAGGAGTGATCACTCGCTGAAATGCCCCGACAGCGAGCATCTCGGCCCGCTTCTCGAGGACGGCAACCCAGCTCACCAGCAGAAACTCAGTGTTATCTGCAGAGAACCGGGCAGAGGCAGGAACTCCCAACTACAGCTGAATTCCTGTTAGGACCAACATCCTAATAAAAGCGCAAGATGTAAAAAGTGAACAAAACACACACAGTTATGCTACGCAACAAGCCAGTAAGACCCTTCTGTCTGAGTTCCAAACAGTAAGCTGAAAACACAAAGCTTGAGAAAGTGGATGGAAAAACACATTCAGGGCAGGGGGTGGCAGTGTCAGGGGCTTTGAAGCCAGGGCCTCACCCCCCCCCCCCGCCCAGTTTTTTCTCTTGGGGGCAGGTCTCACAGGAACACACAATCAAGTAACTCAAAAGGAGAAGAAACATTCTCACCGCCACTCTCAGCAGCTCCTTCTCGACTTGGTCCAGCTTGTTCTGTTTGGACGCGGCAGAGTACAGAGCCGTGGCATAGCGACCTTCGACACCGTAGATCTGAATGGGCGGCTTTAAAGAGAGGGCGAGGCCAGGGAAGAAAAGGACATCATCAGATGGCCAACAAGCAGACTCAACACATGAAATGGGTATCACACAAGTTTAAATATCCCACCACGGGCTGCATGAAATGTCAATTCTAACAAATTAAGGAGGTTTCATTTTGAACTTGCAATACCTTATCTCCAAACAAGGGGCAGAAGAAACAGTGTCTAATGTCCTTCTTCAGACAGAACTACCTATTATTCCATTATTCCGTTTCTGAGATGGGTTAATGCTTCCTTCAATGTCAAGTATGGGAGATTTTAAGCGCAGATAGACCTATTATCAGGAAGCCTAGTGTTTACAGGATGTATGCATATATACTTTTCAATGCTGCAGAGCAATTTCTCTCTGATTTTGTTGCCCACTGTCTGAACCCCATCAAATATGCCTCTTAGAGAGCCCAGCAAGCTACCAAGAGTATCTTGCCTGCATGGGCAGAGCTTGGCAAGCTCCCTGTGGCGTATTCGATATGCCAAAAACAGTAACGATAACAGGTCTCATTCCCCTGACCCTGAAAGAGCCTCCAATCATTGGGAAAGACGAGTAAGGAGAGGCTGCTAAAATCTCAGGCTGGAAGGAATAGAGCCGTTACTGGCACCCGCTCAAGTAAATCAATGAACAATGGGATGACAGTGATACAGAGCAATCCTACATTCCCTTCTGTCTCTCCATAGGTTCAGTTCAGTGGACCCCTCGGGCAATTTACTAAGTGCTCAATGTCTACATTTTTAAAAATAATAGACATCCCCCCACTCCCAACAAACACCCCATCATCAGTATGTATGTGTAGTTGTACTGTACTGTTGCAGTTAAAAAACTTAGCCTTTGAAAAAGGAACCTTTTTTCCCTTCCTAATTTTTTGTGCCCCCCCCCCCCCCCCCGCCACATCTGGAGATGCTCAGGGGTTACTACTGGCTCCACACTCAGGAATTGTTCCTTGTGGTGCTCGGGGGACATGAGATGCCAGGGATAGAACCTATGTTGGCCACATGGACGGCAACTGCCCAACCCGCTGTACTATCATTCCAACCTCTGAAGAAGGAACTTTTGTTTCTTTTTTCTTTTTTTGGGTCACATTTGGCGATGCACAGGAGTTACTCCTGGCTCATGCACTCAGGAATTACCCCTGGTGGTGCCCAGGGAACCATATGGGATGCTAGGAATCGAACCAGGGTAGGCCGCATGCAAGGAAAACGCCCTACCCACTGTGCTATCACTCCAGCCCCTGAAGAAGGAACTTTCAATCCTGCTGCACAACCAAGTTGATTAATCCTGGATGAGATTTCCTGGGGTTCATTTCCTCTGATGTACAATGAGAACCCCAGCTACTTCCACTGGTGTCAGGGGTTTTTAAAGGTCCTACATAAAGGTCTTGCATGGGGCTGTCACACGGTGGGCACTCAATACCTGCTGGTTCTCTCACCCACACCCTCCCTCGCCATGTGGGCACCACAAACTGGGCAGGAAGTTCCAGGAGGGTCTCCTGCCGCCCTGGACTCCCACTCTCACACCAGCTTCTCAATCACAAACGAGTGATGAGTGTATAAGTGAAGACACTTACCCTCACGAGCTTGGCAAAGGGCCTGGCTACGGAGGTACTGAAGGATCGCACCTGTAAGATAATCAAGCAGATGAAGTAAGATGACTGGGGGTGAACCAAGAACGAAAGGATCTGAAGACGACTTCGACGGAGTCAAGGCTTCGGTGGCTTAGCGCAGAGATGTCACCGGGGTGGAACTGTCTTTGCTACCCCGGAGTGAATCATCAAGCTGCACCCGCTACCGTTCCGGTGATCCTGAGCAAAAACACGGATTGCTATGGGAAATCCAGCCGGCAGCGCTGAGGCAACTGGACCCAGCAGGATTTCAGGCCTCGAGAGAGGGGGGCCTCCGCTCTGAATTCCAAGGCTGCCCAAGTAAGAGAAGAATCCTGGGTCTGAGCATGAGACTAACGCCATGACTACCTGGGTCACCCCCAGCCCGGGCAGCTCTCTCCCCCAGCGAGCAGAGAGTTGAAACCCTCAAATTCCAAAGGCCCCAGGGGGTCACCTTCGTGGACCTCCAGCAGCCCTTGCAGCGCAACGACCACGGACACTGTCCTGAGGCCTCCAAGGCTCTTCGGAGCACGATTCTGGGGACTCCGATGGGGTCTGCAAGTCTTGCATCCTTGCAGACATGGGGCAGGGGTTGCAAATCTTCCTTCCGTCAGGTGGAGGGGTCGGGGGGGGGGCACATCTGGCGGTGCTCAAAGCTCACTCGTGGCTCTGCGCTCGGGGGTCACCCCTGATGGGGGGCCAAGAGGGTGTCCACGTGCGGGATCCGGCACAGCTAACTGGGGTGGGCCGCGGGCAGGCCCCAGCGTCCCTCCCCACCCCCTCACTCCCTCCGACTCTCTTCCTGACTCGGGGTCCCCACACTGGGCACCCAGAGGCCGGGCGTTTGAACCTGGGGGTCTCCCGTTCTGTGCAAAACACAGGGGACAGGGACGAATGCGCGCTCACCTGCCGGGACAGCCCGGACACTGCCTGCGCGGCCATCTTCTCCCGGGCGGCTGGAGGTCAAAGCCGAGCGGGTAGCGCGCGAAGGACGCCACCGCGCAGGTGCGCGGGCGCACGGCTCCCTGGGAAATGTAGGCGGAGGGCGCCAAGGCGCACGCGCAAGGGCCTTCCGCTGCCTGGGAGTTGTAGTCTTTAGAAGCCGTGGGCGTGGGGTGGGAGGGGAACTAAGGGCGGGACCCAAAGGTCGGGTCCTTGCCGGAGGACTGCGGGGTGGGGTAGGTGGAGCCTGTGTGCTGGGACTGCACCTGAAAGTGAGATCTGGGGGTCACTAGTTTAGGCACTAGTGTGGAGTTTATTGCTCCTGGTTTGAAATTTTCCACGGAGATAAATATATATATTTATAAATATATATTTATAAATATATATGTATTATTGTATATATTATTGTATAATAATATATTATCTATTACATATAGATAATATATTAGCACTGTAGCACTGTGATCTCGTTGTTCATCAATTTGCTCGAGTGGGCCCAGTAGCGATAGCATAACGGTAGGGTATTTACCTTGAGCGAGGCTGGCCTGGCCAAGCCAGGTTCGATTCCTCCGTCCCTCTCAGGAGCCCAGCAAAGCCTGGTAAGCTACCTGTGTGGTATTTAATATGCCAAACACAGTAACAACAAGTCTCACAATGGAGATAATATATTATTATATCACGATCACGATCATCTTGTTGTTCGTCGATTGCCTCGAGCAGGCACCAGTAACTAACGTCTCCTTCTTCCTAGCCCTGAGATTTTAAAAGAGCCATATTCAATGCTCTTTCAGGGCTAGGAGAATGAGACCTATCACTGTTACTGGTATTTGGCATATGGAGTACGACACGGGAAGTTTGCCAGACTCTGCCGTATATTATTATATAATAATACATATAACTATACTCTTGCATTAGCTTTATTCACCATATAAAGGGTGTATCAAGCTCAATCTTCCTCTCTCTCTGTCTCTCTGTCTCTCTGCCTCTGTCTCTCTCTCTTTCGTTTTGGGCCACACCCATAGATGCTCAGGTCTTACTCATGACTTTTTCCTGATGGTGCTGGGGCGACTGAACCCTGGGTCAGTTGTGTGCAAGGCAAACTCCCGACCTGCTGTACTATCACTTGGGTCCCACATGCTCAATTTCTCAAGTTGTATTTAAAGAAAAGAAAAAAAAGGTCTTTAATTTCAGAAGTGGTTCCAACTTGTCCAGTACTAGAATCTTAACAGCCCCTAACACTACCCACTCATTGGTTGCTTTGGGTGTGTGTGAGGATCTTGGTTTCAAGATGGGCAGAATGATTATCTAGAAGCTAAAATAGGAAACCTGGGGTTTGAGCAAGAGGAAGTTGGCAAAATTTCCCCAAGTTTATAAAAACAACCTATTTAAACCGGTTGTGTGTGTGTGTGTGTGTGTGTGTGTGTGTGTGTGTGTGTGAGATCTTGGTTATAATAATCAGATTCTGAGGTTAATTTAAAAGTACCTGCCCCCCCCCCGTTACAAAAATCTTGCAAAGAGAAAGGACGTAATTGCCATTTTTCACTGCTCAGAGGCAGTTTTTTGCTAATATTTTGGCACATTTATTTCCTGGTGGCTTTGAACTGCGCAGCTTGAAGTTCAGGTGGTCTGGAGATCAATGGTTTAGTGATATAACTTCTCTGTGTTTCAGGATTTGTTCCTTGTTTGCTTGTTTTGCTTTGTGTAGTGGGTCACTCTGCTGCGTTCAGGACCATGTGGCATCCAGACTAGAACGCTGGGCAGCTGCTGAAGTCTCTGGGCAACTTCCTGGATCCCTGTAGAAGCAGGTATCACTGCTTCTCTCCTTCAGTGCCCCCCCCCCGGCCCCCTCCCCCCTCTCCCGGCCTAGCCTTGGGAAGCTCAGTTTTATAGACCGTTCACAGATTCTGCTGCATTGGGCCTTCGGTTATTATTTTTTTTTTGTCTTTTAAATTTTTATTAGTGAAGCACCATGAGGTACAGTTGTAGACTTACACATTTTTGTGCTTGGGATTCAGTTATACGATGATCGAATACCCATCCTTCCACCAGTGCCCATTCTCCACCACCACCAATCCCAGTATCCCTCCTCCCCCTCCTCTCCTCCGCCTCTTTGGCAGGGCATTCCCTTTTGTTCTTTCTCTCCTTTTGGGTGCTGTGGTTTGCAAAAGAAGCATTGAGTGGCAATCATGTTTGGTCTATAGTCTACTCTCAGCATATATCTCCCATCCTGGGAGGATCCTCCCAACACCCTGCCTTTTCCCCTAGTGTGTGCGGCTGGCCTCCAAGCCATGGAGCAAACCTCCTGGTACTAATCTTGGCCACTCTTGGGTGTTAGTCTCCTATTTTGATACTTTATGTTCCCCAGATGAATGCAATCTTTCTATGTCTGTCCCTCTCTTTCTGACTTCGGTTATTCTCTTACAATGTTTCTTCATATCCCACATATAGGGGAGATCTTTCTGTGTCTGCCCCTCTCCTTCTGGATGACTTAATTCAGCATCGTACTAGCTCCATCTAAGTGGCAGCAAATTGCATGATTTCATTTTGTCTGATAAGTGATAGTATTCCACTGTGTATACAGAGTATCACTGACACTGTCACTGCCTTCCCGTTGTTCATCGATTTGCTCAAGCAGGCCCAGTAATGTCTCCATTGTGAGACTTGTTGTTACTGTGTTTGGAATACTGAATATGTCACGGGTAGCTTGCCAGGCTTTGCCATGCGAGTGAGATACTCTTGGTAGCTTGCTGGGCTCTCCAAGAGGGGTGGAGGAATCGAACCCAGCTTGGCAGGGTCAGCTGCGTGCAAGGCAAATGCCCTAACTGCTGTGCTGTAGCGTACACTATAGTTTCTTTATTTATTTGCTATCTGTTCTTGGACATTTGGGTTGTTTCCCTATTTTGGCTATTGTCGATAGTGCTATGATGAATATAGGAGTGCAAATGTCTCTTTGGAATAGCATTTTTGGGTCCTTGGGGTACATGCCAAGAAGTGGAATTGCTGAGTCATATGGAAGCTCAATTTTTAGTTTTACTGAGAAGTGTCTAAATTGTTTTCCAAATAGGTCGAACCAGGTGAATGCCAAAAAGCAGTGAATGAGAGTTCCTTTTCCCCGCCTCCATGCCAACGCTAATTTTGTTCTTTGTGATCTGTGCCAAGTTTCAGTAATGCTAATTCTTTATTAACTTTTTTATTAACTTTTTAGATTATTTAGATGAAGTTGAGCTATTTCATTTAGTACTTTGACTTTTTTCCTTAACGTAAAAGAAAAGATGGGTATTAAATTATACCCAGAGATCGTGAATACCTATTATAATAAAAGCACGTTTCCAAATTTTGGAAGTCTTACAAATATTTTATGACTGCAATGAATATTCTATAACAATTCTGCAATGATTTTTAAATATAATTCAGATGACTTCTAATCTTCCTATTTTACTTTATGGTTTGTTTATTTATTTTTGGATGAGCTTCTCTTTACTATTTCCCTTCATCCCTATAATATCTCTTCACCCTTTCTAGGCACAGACTTTAAAAAAATTGTTAATCATAATATGAGACTGACACCCAGGGACAGTAGACACAAGGGCCAAGAATATTGCCCCATAGTTGGAAGCCTGCCTCTTGAGCAGGGGCAGAAGGCAGCTGGGACAGAGAAGAACAATGATGGTTGGAGGGATTGTTCGGGAAGGGAGATGTGTGCTGAAAGTAGACAAAGGACCAAACGTGATAGCCTCTCAGTATCTGTATTGCAAATCATAATGCTCAAAAGTAGAGAGAGAGTATGGGGGAAATTTTCTGCCATGGAGGCAGGGGGAGGGTTGGAAAATATACACCAATGTATACTGGGGACATTGGTGGTGGAGAATGTGCACTGGTGGAGGGATGGATGTTCGATCATTGTATGATTAAAACTCAAACATGAGCACTTGTAACTGTATCTCACGATGATTCAATAAAAAGAAAGAAAGAAAAAATTGTTAATATACATATACATGTATATTGGGGTAACCTTTAAATGGATTTTGAGAACTTGCATAACTCGAGGGTATAATAACTTGGCTGCATGAGGCCAAGCTGTTTTGCGGAGGTTTTGAGCAATTTGTGATTCACTAGCAGTGCCTGAAAAGTCTCCCTTCAGAGCCAAGGAGAGAGGACAGAGATTAAAGCAAATGCTTTCCTTGGGCTGGATCCCAGTTAGACCCCAGCACCACATAGTCACCTGGGCACTGGGGGTACAGCCCTGATGACCCCCAGCATCACTGAGTGTAGCCTCAAAGGCCCCCGAACAACACTGGGGTGGCCTGGGTGGTCCCCTATTGTGGGATCTGAGCAGCACTGCATCCTTGGGCCCGCCAATTAGACTGGTTAGCCAAGCAGTCTATAACAATAATATAATTATATTATAATATAATAATACATTATAATAGAATAACATATAATAGAATAGCATAATACAATAGCTGGGCACCCTGCACACTGCCTGGGAGGCCCAAACAGGACCAAAAAAAATCAAACAAAAGACAATAAAAAGCACTTTCATTTTGCTCCACACTGTACGTAGACAAGTTAGTCATTGAGCAACATGAAGTATTTTGTTTGTTTGTTTGGGAGGGGCCACACCTGGTGGTTCGTGGGGGCTACTCCTGGCTCTGGGCTTTGAGGTGGCTTCTGGCATTGTTGGGGGACCCTGAAGTGCCAGTGATTGGACCCAGACCTCCTACAAGCAAGGCATGCACTCCAGCCCCGTGAGCCAGCTCCCATCCCAGTGTGGCACTTTTAACTGAGCATCTATTAAGTACAGACAGCTGCTCAATACCCTGAAGATACAGTAGGGTCTGAGACCAAGTGCTTACCTTTACAGATTTCACAATCTGGGTGAACCACAAAGCTGTTCTTAGAAGTGATAAATAAAAAAAATACATTCTGGGGCCCATGGAAAACTCTAGACATTGTATTGTGTTGAGAATGAATTACATGAAAGCTATGAGTAACAAAAGCTTACTAAATTCTTAGACAAGCACTTACCAACCCTGAAATTGGATATAATAATGTTCACATAA